ACAGATGTAGATTACAGTATTTAAGTTGTAAATTACCTCTTTTCATCAGTGTGATGTTTGTGTTAGAATACTAAGGAACTTAGGAACCATGGCAGCTAGGGTTTTGGGTAGGAGGAGTGTCGAGAGAATTGTAGCAAGAGAGGGGTTTCACTATTGAGCAAAGGGTACAAATAGAGAACAAACAAGCAAGGAAAGGTGCACCACCAACAGTTTGTAACAATAACTGCAGTAACTAGACTACAGCTATAACTACATGCACTTATACAGAAATATATATAAAATATAATTTGACAGTGTGCGGCTTGAAATTGAGGTCTATTAAATGGATGGTTTTTCTAAGCAAGGGAAATGACAAGTAAATGTAGAAACGAAATCATAACGCAAGTTAACTACTAGTAGAAAAACCCCACAGAATAGCTAATTTCTGAGATGACGTTTCAGCTTGAATAAACACGCGCCCAGAGGTAAACAATGGCGGTGACGAATCAACAGAGAAGGTGGGGAGAAGTAATAGAAAGAGCAACAGACAGGAGAGGAAGAAGAAAGAGGGAGGAAGGAAGAAGGGAGGAGAAGCGCTAGGTTTAAGAGACGTTTCAAAAGGAGAAGCGCCAGGCGTTTTTTTTAGCGCGTCCATACGAATGTATTGAGGGGTGGAGCAGTTTTGTTCTCAACTCGATATCAATTTTGACACGATGTGAGCCAGAAAGGCATGAGAGAGGGAGAGGCGAGCAGGATGAGCAGACCGCTGAAGCTGGAAGGTGGGAAAGGTGTACGAACCTGCTGGAGAGGCGAGCAGGACGAGCAAAACGCAGCAGAACGCAACAAGCAGCGGCAAGAAGGAGTTGGGTTCCTCCTGTGTTTTTAGTCGACTTAATGGTATAACATATGAGGGTGGGACAGCTGCATAAACTTGCTATGCTGGTTTTGAGGCGCCTCAAAACTAGATTCCTCCTGTGTTTTGCGTCAACGAGCTTGTATAACATATGAGGGTGGGACAGCTGCACGAACCTGCTCTGCTGGAGAGGCGAGCATAACGCAAGCATCGACAAGGAGGAGTCAGATTCTGCCTTGTTTTAAGTCGACATTAAAAAAAAGCGTAAGGGTGGGAGCATGAACCTGTTGGAGAGGCGAGCAGGACACAGCAAGCCGCGGCAAGCACATATGAGCGTAGGAGAGTTGCACGAAGCTGCTGGAGAGCTGAGCAGGACGAGCATAACGCAGAAAGCCGCAGCGAGGAGTTGACGTGTTTTGAGTCAGATTGAAACACGTGAGGAGTCCAAATCTGGCGCGATCCGAGTCTAACTAAAACGCATAAGGGCGGGAGAGATGCACAAACCTATGAGGGGGCCGAGAAGGACGCAAGCAGTGACGAGGAGGAGTCAGAGTCTGCCTTGTCTTCAGTCGATATTAAGAAACGCGAAGGAGAGTTGCACGAACCTGTTGGAGAGCCGAGCAGGACGAGCAGAGTGCAGCAAGCAAAGGCAAGAAGCATTTCAATTCCGCCGACAAGGCGCGACGAGGCATCAAGGTGTAATGAGGAGAGGAAATCATGGAAGAGGGCAAGATTCTGAGTTTAAGCGAGGTGCTCCCCATCATGCTGAGCGATCTTGAATCGAGCCCGAGGGAGGAGACAGATGTCACGAGCGTGAGCTGCTCGGGGAGTAAGCTTGCGAAATTTCAAAGGCTTCAAGGGAGGGTGGATGCACGCGAGGAGTATCGCATAGTGGAGAGTCGGTTGCGTGCCACATACGGCACCAGTGGCGCATGCATGCATAATATGGTGATTCTGTTATCATGTTATGCATGCATGCGAGGAGCTCGGAGCTCGGCGTTTTCTTAGTACTTCTGCTGTACAAAGCCTGAGTCAACGGCAACAGAAGCTTGTACTACTGCTGCAGCCTTGGTTGGTGCTACTGACGTGCTGACTCCGCAATCGGATTGTCCCTTTCGCGTTGCGATGCTACCCAAGGAAACGTGGGGAAGACGGAAAGAAGGTTGCCAAAGATTGCTGTCCGGTAATGGTGCTACCAAAGAACCTTCACCCGCTCTGCTGGAAGCTTTTGAGGCGCCTCAAAAGTCACCCGCTCTGCTGGAAGCTGGTGGCTCAAAGCTTCTATTGATAGCTCCGGTCGGGCTAGCAGCGCGGTCGTCGCAATTCACGTCCGTAATTCGCGCGTCACCAGCTCGAATTACTAGCTCGCATCGTAGCGTGCAGCAGCGGCTGCGGAGCTGTACAAAGTGAACGTCTGAGGCATGTCGTTGAATGTCGGACCCTCGGATCAACGATTCCAACCGTCAGGATTCACCGACATCCCTCGACGTCGAATTTTTGCAGTACTTTGTACACGCCATTACTGCCGCGAGAACAGGCACCTGTACTTTCATAACCAATACACGTGCTTTTACGAAACCTACTCTCGAGAATATCATCACGCCAAGCACCATAAGTACACCCTCTTTCTCGCTTCACTGACCCACGCGTAATTGGCTGGCAGATTGTGTCTTTTTCAACCAACCAAAATTGAACCGCGCTAAACCAGTGATGTTTCACTCCGGATGTCAGTGTAGCGTACGTCAGTTTAGCGAGAAAGAGGGTGTAGCTGTACACTTGGCAGCATGGCTGTCCTCGACACCTGTACATCGAGCAAGTGACACTAGGCGACGCCTTCTTTCGCCAATCCATTCCCATCTTGACTGGTTTCGTCTAGCATTTTCCGCGAAGCGTTTACAGCATGTCGCCATGGCGTGACGCGTGCAGCAGCGAGTATGCTATGCATACGCTCGTATACACGCACACACACACGTACTACCGGTTTCTGTAAGGCAGTTGCTTAACTCACAGGGCAAGAAGTTCAGTTTAGTATGACTACTTTCTCTATCCTGGAATAAAAGAATCAGCCATGTCTGTTTTTGAGCAATGGAGATGACTGGAGAGGGGGAGGTGCGTGACAGACCAGGTCGACAAAGCCGCGACACAGACAAGGGAAGCAGGGAGCGAGGTCACATTCCGCGTAGTCATTTCTTTTCCAACTGCTATTGGCAGCCTTTTGCAAAGATCGAACAAATGGCAGTGTGTGTAGTCATGTCAGAAACTAACGAGCAAGAATGATTGCATTGACATCAAACTGTGTACAAGTATAACCCTAATTAGGTTGTACTCCATATAGGCTACCCCACTACAGCCTACACAACATAAGAGGCATTTTAGTTTGACACACCCCCATAGGCAACATGGGAGAGAACAAGGGGTCACAAGACCAGTCAAGAAAAGCAAAGCAAGCTCAGGGTGGATCACAGAGTCACCATACACTCTGAGCACAAGGTCGGTCCACATGCAGAGTTATATAAAAGACAGCAAACAGTACAGTGATCACTACCTAGCAAGAGTAAGCATGCAGGTATATCTATAGGTCACACTACAAGTAAAGTCAAGCAGTGAGCAAGTGAAGCAAAACAGGCACAAGGCCCAACATAGTACAAAAGCGCTGATGATCACAAGGCTGAAGTGCCTTGGTGAATATATCAGCAGTGTTGGCCCGAGTGGCCACGTAAGCAAGACGAAGCTGACCACGCTGCTGCAACTCTCGAGCAAGGAAGTAACGCAGAGCGATGTGCTTCGTTCTGTGTTCCAGTCTGTGCTCCTGACACAAGGCAATTGCAGCCTTGTTGTCTACGTACAAAACTGGAGGAGAACGAGGCTGCTCTCCCAAGTCGGTCAGCACGTAGGTGAGCCAGCGTAACTCCTGTGCAGCCATGGCTGTGGCATAGATCTCAGCCTCACAACTGGAGCTGAGAACATATGACGAGCGGGTAGACCGCCAAGAAACAGAGCCCGAGCCAAGGCTGAACGAGTAACCTTGAGACGACCGCTGCGTAGTCAGGTCGTCAACCCACGAAGTGTCTGAGTGTCCAGTGAGGACGACTGGACCCCGCCCTCCAAGCACAAGCCCCATGCCCGATGTACTGCACAAGTAACGCAGTACCCTCTTCGCAGCATCCCAGTGCAACTTTCGGTGCCTACCAGGAGCCACGTAGCATGCTAGAAGGCCAAGAGGGTACGCAAGGTCAGGACGAGTGCAGGTCATCAGGTACATGAGGCAGCCCACTAGCTCTGGGTATGGACCACTCGGCTCTACGGACTCGTCCGAAGGTGGAGCTGAGAGCGAGTGACCGGTAGCCAGAGGAGTGGACTGTGGCGAGGACCAAGTGAAGCCGAAACACTGAAGGACCTGCTGCACCATGTGTGACTGAGTCAGTGTGATGGTGCGCCGTGCTCTGTCTCAGGTGATCTGCAGGCCAAGGTAGCTGCGCAGTTCACCCAGGTCTGTGCACGTGTGTCTCTTCTATAGCTTCGACTTCACAAGGGCGAGAGCCTCAGTGTCAGCAGAGGCAAAGACCAAGTCGTCGACGTATACGAGGATGTAGAACGGCGGCAATGAAGTGTCGGTGCACAGAAACAGCGACGGGTCAGCAGTGGAAGGTGCAAACCCAAGAGCCGCAAGTGTCGTCCTCAGTGTGTCGTGCCACTCACGAGGCGTCTAGCGGAGACCGTAGACTGGCCGTTGGAGGCTCCACTGGGTACCTGCAGGAAATGACCCAGTGAAGCCAGGTGGACGGTGCAGCCAGATCTCCTCGTGCAGGCTGCCCTGTAGGAAAGCTATGTTGAAATCAAGGGAGTGAAGCTCGTAGTCACGTTGAGTGGCAACGTGCAGCAGCACCCGAAGGGTGGTCATCTTCGGGGTAGGGGAGAAGGTCTGGAAGAAGTCAACTCCCTGTCGCTGACTGAAGCCTCGTGCAACGTAACAAGCCTTGAAGACAGGCGGAGAAACCGACGGGCGCTTCACCCTGAAAATCCACATGCCAGCGACTACGTTCACCCAATGAGGGGAAACCGCATCCACGTAGGTGCCTGTGGATTTCCAGGATGCCATCTCTGTGTCCATGGCTGTCCGCCATTGGGAGGAGTACTCACTCGCCTCAGCGTAAGAGCGCGGGGTCGG